CCAACTCCATGGGAGAAATGGGAGAACAGATGCCACTCCTACCAAGCTCTCCAAACAGTCTCCAACCTTAACCGCCCTCTACTAGAGATTAAAAGKGACCTCCCAAACCCTGAGCGCCACTCTCAAACTGTCTCTTTTACCTATAACTAGAAAACTCTCTAGTCGGCTAGGGTTTTGAGCAAAAAACAGCAGCCTCAATTTCTTAGCAATCTACAACAGTTTCTATCTCTCCAAACCCTCTACCAACTAGGCTCAGATGATCTCAAAACATTCAGCAATTTTATCTCTCCATACACTTCTAATCGAAGGGTGCATGGGAGAAAAGAGGAAAAGAAGGAAGAAAAGAATAGTGCTCTGATACCAAGATGTGATCCAGTATGATAAATCAGAAAATAAATCTCAGATTATGTGTGGAAAAAGGAGAGAAGAAAAAAGAGAAACAGTAGAGAAAAAGAAGAAGAAGATGAAGAAGAAAGGAGAGGAAGAAGAATGTTTGATGCCTTGTCTCCCCTTCTCCTCTAATCTTTATTAAACTTAACATAATGAGGATAATTACAAATCTGCCTTTAAAGGGGCAGCCAGCTCATAACCATACTTAAAAATAGAAAAGAGAAAAGTTAACAGGCCCAGAAAGACAAGGCCCATTAACAAACATAACAATTAAAAACAAAGGATAATATAATGATACTAGGGCATTTGGTCCAGTCACTCTACATTTAAAATTAGCAAATCTTAGTTTTCTGGAAATTAGTCTGCTTTTGGTGACTCATTGGGTTGATACCTTGTGGAGGCATTTCAGTAACACCAATAGCATCTAAAGACTAAAATCCTTCATGTGAAAGTTCAATTGTAAGAATTTTAGGTTATGGAAATTCCATTTCTAACATTTTGTTGAAGGCAGAGGCTTGTGGTGACACATTGACAGGTTTGAAAAGATACCTAAAGGCTGTGTTTGGTAAGAGTGCAAATGTAAATGTGTACGGTTCAAGAAAATGCAAACATTGTTTGGCTTTGCATTGATAAATTTTGCATTCTTACCAAATGTATTTGGGTGTGATGGGTACAAACATGAATTTCAACACTGGAATCTACCTTTTTTATATGGACCAACTTTGAGTGCAAAAGTTTGCTTCCATTTTTTGGAAGCAATTGTTGCTCTCATTTCAAAAGCAAACATGCCAGAATGTACAAATTTACTATCATTTTCAGTACAGAAATGCACTCTTACCAAATGCCTGCAAAACTGAATCAGAGTGCAAATTCGCTTTGGTTCAGTGTTTGCACTCTTACTAAATGCAGCCAAAGAGACAAATGTTAAATCTATACAATGATAGAAGTAATAAACACTAGGATCATCTCTTAGATACTAGCATCAAGGTTCAAAATATCGTTACGTATCGGCCGATACATATCGTATTGGGGCCTTCCTGATACGCCCCTACAGGGTGTGTATTGTTGGACAGTTTTGTATGCCCTTAGCTCCAATCCGATTTGATGTACTTTTGACATTTAGTGTAAATAAATAAAGTGCATGTTTGATTCATGTTGTGTGGTACATTTCTGTGTAA